TTAGATCGACCACCTATAATAATATCAGCAGTCTAAATTAATATCAACAGTCTAAAATAATATCAACAGTCAAAATATTCGTCTTTAAATTCACTTTTGTAATGTTGATCGTTGTGAATAAAAAGGTCATTTATTAATTATTATTATAACATTATATAAAATGCACAGCATCGGTTGTCCAAAGCTAGATCTATGGCATGCGCGGGATCACACGCTGATCACGCGCGCAAAATGCGCGTGATTTTTTGGATCCCGCGCATGAATTTTATCATGTTCCCTAATTCAGGCTAGCCGGCCCGCATCAACAAAATTTTAAAAAACCCACTCTACCCCGCGCATCACGCGCGTAAGCCGCCCGCGCGATTTGCCCATCACTATCTATGATACTAAATTTGATTTTGTTTGTCCAAAAAATAATCTTTTACATATGAAATATTGACTTACATGTGGTCTAATATAATTTACCGATGCTTTCGCCATCTACCGGCGAGTTTCTGTGGGTTTGCATTGGTTAAAGTCAAAACATAGTTTTGACTTTCTTCTGAAAGATTTTAAAAGGCGAAATTGTGAAACTGGAGAAAGTTTAGGAAGCTGACGAAATACAAAAATTGTTGAAACTAGCAAACATCACAAAATTGATGAAACTAATAAAACCGATAAAACTAATAAAACTGATGAAACTAATAAAACGATGAAACTAATAAAACTGATAAAACTACTAAAACTGATAAAAGATTGTAAAAACTTATAAATACAACTAAATTCAATTATTATTTTTGTAGATATTTTAATAATGTTTTCCTATTTGAGTATTATAAAAAAATGATTTACCGATCAGCCAATAAAATAGATTTTTAACTATGCTCAGTAGGAAATAAATAAAGATCACGTTACGCATGATCTTGCATCTTAATTGGTCAATAACGATGATAATGAATCCATTTTTGATTAATCGGGTTTACAAAAAAAAAATTACAAAAAATATATACTTCATTTTGAGCACATTCTTTTTGTAACTTTTAAGCCTGAAAATATTCATAACTCTTGTGATCGCAATATGTCTTCTGAAAAAAAGCAAAAAAAAGTACAGAAACCTACATCAAACGTATTAATGAAGCCGCAAGCTCACTTAAACCGAATTATGACCCAATTACTCCAAAACCAGATAAATATGATTCTGAATCTTGGCTGAATTACAATCGTGAGATGCAAGACAAGATAACACAAGAAATGATTAATTTAAACTGGATTGAATTTTATAACAATATGAGTCGTTACATAACTCATTAAAGAATATTCGATTCACATTCGATACTGAAAAAACTAAATATATAAATAGAATGATTAGGAATACATTTCCGACGTCTGATAATAAATACTCAAAAACAACTTTATGGAGAAAGGCATATGACAATCTTAGTGTTCTAATATTTGAAGGTACTGTACTTCTCAGAATTGTTTTAAATAGTTCAAAAATAATTAATAATATTTATTTAATTTTAGCATCTGATGAATTCAAAATTCCAAGACAAGCGATATTAACAAATTAATTGTTTGTTTGATGCGAAATGATAATCAAGCAATATGAAAAAATTCTAAATTTATTTTAATAATTTAAGTTATTGATCCAAAATTAAGCGTTGCTAACTGTGGGATTTATGAATAATACTATATGCAATTAAGATCTTGTTCTTCGGATAATTTTTGTATTGTAGAGATTCCAAATGGGAATAAATTTAATATTCATACTTTAATTTAGTATGAAAGTTTTTTCGCTAGAGATCCGTTATTTAGAATATAAATGCATAAATGCTTATCCGAAACTAATAATTTCTGTTATACATGCGTAATGTACAGTCACCGGCAAAAGTAACGCCCGATAGAATTTTTGAAATTGAATTGACAATAATTACTACATATAAAACTTAATTTTTTTTATTAATTAAACCACACTTAGTGTACTAAATAAAAATGTTCGCCAATATAAATTATAAAAATGGTAAAAATTTGATGAAATTTAGAATATATTTTATTTACTTGCGAATTTTTTTTTAAATTATTTAGGAAAAAATACTCTGTTTTATACCTCGAAGTTAAATAGTAAAATTTTATATTCACGTCTAAGTGAACCTTTTATTTTAAATAGAAAATACACTATACTCTACAATATTAAGTAAAGACGTTTATACGGTGCTTGACTATGTAATATATAAAATTCAGGAGCGGCGGCAAAATTTTTTATAGGTTTTAGCTTATTTTACGATTATTAGTTAAAAATCGTAAAAAATTTTTCCTGATAATTAGTTAGCGAAACTTATTAATAAAATATATTCTAAATTTCATCAAATTTTTACCATTTTTATAATTTGTATTGGCGAACATTTTTACTTAGTATACTAAGTGTGGTTTAATTAATAAAAAATTAAGTTTTATATGTGGTAATTATTGTCAATTCAATTTCAAAAATTGTATCGGGCGTTACTTTTGCCGGTGACTGTACCAGTACAATACAATATATCGTACACATTTATAACTCCCTTTACGCAACTCAAGCGTCTAGTTATATTTTGAAAACTAACTAATTAAATATTTAATAATTTAAATAATATTAAACTTTTAAGTATTCAATTAATTACCCAAATCATCGAGTAATGTCGGATTAACATGTCAAGATACTGAGTAGATATCGAACCAAAAATTAACTTCACATTGATTAATTTGTTTCTATTATCGTTATGAAATTGTATTTTGAATTTATTACATCCAAATGCTTATATTACATATAAAATTTATTATTCGTCATGGGTTTCGTCATTCGTCATGAGTTTCGTCATTCGTCATTTCGTCAACTCGAAGTTGCCTGACGAAATGGTTTCGTCATTCGTCACTGAAGAATGTTTCGTCATTCGTCACTGAAGAATGTTTCGTCATTCGTCAGGCATCATTAGTTTGGTTCGAGGCGAAGCTCTCAAGAAAAGTTGCATGATGCCTCTGAGATAATGGTATAACGTAACTTGCAGATTGCCCCAAATGTATTTTCTCTTGTATAAAAAATGACAGGTGATCATTTTGACAATAAGACACCTATACCAGGATCCATGTGGTAGGATCCTTGATACTTGTGCTAAATCGTTCCTCGTCTCTTCTGCCTTATTGTATATTAGTTGGTGTTTGATTTTTGTTGTTGTATGACACCCGGCATCCCAACTGATCCACCCCTCGCACTATGCAGCTTTATTTATTTTATTTATTTTTTTTTAAACTTATATCGAAGTTATCTCGACAACCACTTAACAAAATTAAATATTTTAAGATTTTATGAATTCCAAGAATTAAAAAAAAAAAAAACTTTCACTGAATTTGGTTGGTTGTTTGTCGAGATATCTTCGATCGAATTTTAAAAATTTCAAAAATAATAAGCGGGAAAAAATTTTTAATGACTTTAATCGAAGGTATCTCAATTCGGGGCTCACACTAAATAATTATCATCAGGCTTTTGATTGGCTAATATTATGACCAACTAGGTTACACAAATATCACATACAGGAAACTAGCATTTTAACCGGCTCCACGTCACACAGAGCCTGAGCCAAGCCGTTGAAAAAGTGAGAATTGGTTCTAGGTTAGAACTCGTTCGGAGGTTTGGTTACACAGGGCTTCGGGTTCACTAATCTATCCAAATAAACCAGGATAATCCAAAAATCCAACTAAGAGGTAACCCTAGCTTGGATAAGGCTAGAAAGAGGCGAGGATTAACTTGGTCCGAGGTTAGGGTTACTTGGGTAGGTATTTAGGTTATTGGGGTTGGGTCTATGGATTTTCTTGGTCACGATTTGATCACGATTTGGTTGTCACGGGAACACAAAATTATTGTGGGTCGAATTTACGTAATAATTGCGAAACTGATCAATTATTTGATCAGTTTAAGGACTATAAAAGAATATGCGAAAAATAATTGGAACACTTTAAGAAGAGTTAACCCAGTGATCGACGATCACATTATAAACATATAATTACGTCATTTGTTTACTAGAATTAAAAAAACTGGCCTAAACTATACCCTAAACTAACCCTAACCTAACCCTAACCTTGGCCGAATTATTGTCATATGACATTGTGATGATTACTGAGTTAACTGTTCTTAAATCTTCCCAAATAATTTGGGTTCTTTTACTCTTAACTAGAAACTGGATTTTACGAAAAAATATCACGTGGACAAGACAGAAAAATCTAACGATTCAAGAAAAAAAGGATTTATAACAATTTAAACGTATTTAGAAACAAACGAACACTTCTTTTCAAGACTATTCAAGACTCAGAAAGTTTTATTTTTCGAACTCTGTGAGTTACTTTTTTATTCAAGCAAACTTCGGGCACTTATATACATTTTTTTACATATGAAATAAATTTATGAAATTTTCTAAATTTACGAAATTATTAAAATTTGTTAAATTTTTTAAATTTACGAAATTACTAAAATTTTCTAAATTTCTTAAATTTCTTAGTTTTCTGAAATTTAGTTAATTTTCAAAATTTTCGAAATTATCAAAATTTCTAAAATTTTCGAAATTTTGATGATCACCCTCCGGACCAGGCGCAGCATCGAGGTGGTAACTTCGCCCCTTACATCGTAAGTTAGCCGAGCAGTTAATTTTTCGGTTTAGTCGATAAGCTTTCGGCTACCCGAACCGTTTTGCATCTCTAAATTCAAGTTGTAAATTATTTTTTTTCTATTAGCATAATATTTAGTCGGATGATTTTCGACAGGAAATTTTTTAGGTATTTTCGCCATGGTGTTGCATGTCAAAATGTTTTTTGACTGCCGATATTATTATTGACTGCCGATATTATTATTGACCGCTGATATTATTTTAGACTGTCGATATTATTTTAGACTGTCGATATTATTTTGACTGTTGATATTATTTTAGACTGTTGATATTAATTTAGACTGCTGATATTATTATAGGTGGTCGATCTAA